GCTTCATCCGATAGCTGCCGTCTTACATAAACAAAACCGTTGTATGAAAAAAATGGCCAAATTATATACCTACATATATATCTACTATATTTTTAGATTAAGTTTTACTATAATTTATCAAAAAGTCGAAGCCTAATGCGATTAGTTTCATCTTAGTTTTACCTACTGATTTCCATGTGGTAACGTATTAAGAATACGGAGTGCCGCCACCCCTATTCATCTCGCGGATGTCATAAGATCGGACGCAAAACTACGCAGGACAACCGAACTGTAGGGAGAAAAAAAACTTGAAACAAACCCTATACGGACTCGTCTAGCCAGTGTGATATAGTAGGCCAAAATCTCCTTTGTGAGGAGAGGCCTATGTCTAGCAGTGGACTATTAAAGACTGTTGATGATGATGATGCGAGGTGCTGATTTAACGAGATCATCATCATCATTTTCATCTTGTTCCCTACCCTTCCCCAAATTTATTTTGGGCCTTGACATCCGTTTCATTTCATTGCGAAATGATTTTGTCTTCTTCTTTTATGGCCGGGTGCCTGTTAGACGCCAGCCCTCCTTGAGATGTAAATGTATTCTTCGTACATAGTATGTAGCACAAGATTAATTAACATTATTGATTTAACTACATTTAACATATAATTATCTTTCCGATGATAGTTGTCGTCAATTATGCTTACGTGCTACACATTAATAATCACTTGGTTCAAAGGTTACGGAAAACATCATTAGAAGTATTAAACGACCTTCTGGAAATATTGTGGAGTCTAATCCGTATTAGTTAATCACATCGAACTATGATCTCCTAACCTCTCGCGTACCGCGATGAGACCTATGCCTAAGGCATGGGACGAACTGTAAATATGGTTGATATCGAATCGATACTAATAAGATCCTTTGAAAAAAGATATTCAAGAATCAGAGGTGGTAGCTACAATATGTGTTCCTAATTTGTATCCTATAAGTGGCTATAGATCACAAAAGAACAAAGAACGCATCACGACCCTATCTCGGGTTTCTTCTTTAAGAATTGCTTAAGGTGGAAGCCGCAGCTCACGGAAATTATCTCTCAACCGAATCTATTATTTTTAACACGGTTTTAGGTATATTATCTTGTAAACATAGCATAACTTTTTTGCAAACGACTGTTGGCATTTATTTACTGTTCATAACATTCAAAGACGTTGATTAATCATATAAATAACTATTAAGTATGTATGAGTAGATGAAATATATTTAAAAAATATTCTAATAAAAAAAAGTTGCCAGTCGAAAAAAAAAATTACGTACGTGTCAAGTCAAGTTTGACAAACTTTTTGTTTGTTTCTTGTTGTAACCTTATACATGTTTAGTGTTTTATTTATTTTATATTTATATAAATAACGTTTGTAGGTACATCGGCGGACTTGACAGGACAGGTAGCGTAGAAATCTGGTAAAGTAGGCGAACTGTACTGTACTTTGGTTACATTAATTCACATCTTAATTTTTGAAGGGATAGACAGAAGAGCATTAAACGACCATATTTTGCCGACTATACCATCATTATCATCATCAACAGCCTCTAATAGTCCACTGCTGGACATAGACCTCTCGTTAGAGAGAAGGTTTTGGCATACTATACCACGCTTGCAGACGGGTTTGTATAGAGTTATTTCAAGTTTTCCTTCTCTTTGCAGTGCTGGTGCCCTACGCAGTTTGCTTTCTTAGTCGGCTCTTACGATACCCACGGGATGAGTAGAGGTGGTGACACTCCGTATGCTATCCATCATCATACGGACAAATTACATGATATACTTTGGTAACTAAAAAAAAAATTTTTAGTTACTGTTTTTACATAAATTTCCCAATAACATAACGTGTAACGATAGCTTTGTGGTCCGACCTTTCATCAATCATCAACAACAGCCTTTAATAGTCCAATACTATTATGATGATGAATTGGGATGGCGACATTCCGTATTCTTAATCCATCACCACCCGTTACGAACTGGCAATTGAGTGATTGGTGGGAAATCATTACTTCGCTGTCACTTTACATCACCAACACTGCTAATAAATTAATGTCTTGCAATAAATAGTACTTTGAAAGATAATAAGATGTTAGTGTCCGTCGATTTCCGCTTACGATAGAAACAAGCGGCAATTCTCAAATACGTCATTAATGTAGTAAGCAGTTGGACTTTGAGATTTGTGTTTTATCACAAAAGTCATAGAGTTAATAAAACTTAAATACATGTAAAAATTATATATTTAAAATACATATATCTAGTAATTTTATACATATTAAAACTATGTCCTTTTTGGTAAGATTTCAACGGAAGATTCCCAATATTCGTTTGCACTGGTTTGCAATAACGAAACTGCTTTACATCTTTTGTGGTTGTATAATGAATTGAAGTTTTATTAGTTTTACATATGACTTTTATATTTCACCATGACTTCTAAGTGCATGATCAGATGGTATTGTTGGAATTCTTACATTATCCTGATTCACACTGACTATAATTTCAAAGGAAAAAATATGAAAAATGCTGCTATTATAAAATAAAAAACAATATGTAGTTGGTTTTTTGCAAGATAGTCGTCTCTCTTAATTGTTTTCAATTAATAACTTATTGGTAATTTTAAGTAACCTTACAAAACTACCCAAAAACCAAAAGAAAAACTATTTATAGTATCTTTATTAAAAGAATAAGCACATTTATTAAAGAAAGATAACATGGTATTGGAAATCACTATGTTAAAAAGTAATTAAAACACTACACAACACAACTAAATCGTTGGTCTGGAGTATTTTTTCTCAAGAAATTATTAGTAGTAAATTTTTTGGTTTGAAAATTGTTGCACGGAAAGAAAAAAAAAAAAAGGAGCATTGCAGGTTGAAAAAAATTCCTCATCGTCAAAAAGACGTCAAGAAGGGTAATTATTACATTCTATGGTAATTTTATATTTTAAGCAAATTAATAGAATGAAATGAAGGTTCCAAAGTATTTAAATAGAATGTACATCTAAATTTACTTTAATGGCGTTAAGTCACATACAATAAAAATATTTCTGCGAAGAGCCACTGGCTTGTAACACGATAATGCCAAAAGGCTAATTTTTACTTCTAATGACTGTAATACAGTTTAAAATTTATCGACCATAGCAGTTCCCACAGTTCGCTGATAAATAGCTGTTAATTGTGCCAGTTGATAAGTAAATGATAGATGCCTCCACATGTCATTAAATGCATTAGATCCTTTGTTAGAACAAAAACAAACTCATCATCATTTGAGGCATCTTTTGTTAAGATTTATAGTTTTAAAATGACATACGTAAATTAACATAGTCATTTGAATATGAATTTACAGACATTAAGTTACATTAATGTGTTTTTAGACGTGGAAAACCTATTCGCTATATGTATAATTATTAACGCTGGGGCTACTTTGAATACGACTGTTGCAAATCTAGGGTAACATAGATACTCTCTCGCTCGATAGCCTGATTGCGGCTATCGTGCGGAGCGAGAGTGCGTGGAACTCTGCCGTCTCCTTCTGCGAGCGGGACCGGGAGAGGTTTAGGACTCTCCCGGCCCGCCAGGCCCGGGAACGGGCCAGGTACCGCAGGCGACTCAGGCGCCGGAGGTCGCAGAAGGACCTACGTCCTCCATAAGCGCAGGCCTGGGGGTGACAGATGAGGCCATCTGTCACCCTAGCAGAAGCAGGCCGGGGTGGCGGCGAGCGCGTTGCGAAGCGCGCTCGCTTCCAGGGAGCACAGGGAACATGGGGTTCCCACACGGGGGGGGGATCGTCTACTCGTCTGTAGATGACCCGAGGTATGTCGGGGTACCAGGGACTTCCTTTCTAGGGTATACCTGGTTCCCCGGCTATTAGTACCCGAGACGGCGTGCGGTTTTAGTCGGTTCGAGACCGACATGCCACCGACAGGTGGTATCCGAGGAGATTTCCGCACGGAAAAAAAAAAAGGGGTAACATAGATACGTCGGGGCACCAGGGATTTCCTTTTTAGGGTACACCTGGTTCTCCGACTACTGGTACCTGAGACGGCGTGCGGTTTTAGTTGGTTCGAGTCCGACATTGCCACCGGTATGTGGCATCCGAGGGGATTTCCGCCACAGATAAAAAAGGGTAACTTACAGACAATGTGTAACTAGATATAGGTACTCGTAATTATGATTTTAACTTTATTTACTAAATGTAGAGCATGACTTATTACCATGCAGTTCCCATTAACACAAATATAGGTCAGGGTCGTTCTACAAAATGTCCCAAAAGTATGGCCGGATATTGTGTTGAATTCGAAAACAAGTATTTGGAAGAGAACTCTCTTAAAAGTTTATTTAAATTTAAGGTTTAATATATAGTCGTGAAAATGTATTGTAATTTGAAGTTTATTAAGATAAGTTTCGCTTGTTGGTAGACTAACTGTTAAAATTACTTGCTGGAAGAGTGAATTTCCTAATTAAAACTGCTTCGCGGTCCAGTAACAAAACTTGAAATATTGAAAGAATTTGAATGTTGTATTAGATGTTTATTAGCCGAGAGCGCTGTGTGACACGCGTTTTAAACAAAGACAATATTACTTATATTTATTATCACGTTTCTGACTTACTAGTCGTATTATAATCATAACAAGTGTCGTTAGGTATTCTGGCGATACAATATAAAATAACATTACTACCAACTGCAGTAGCAAAAAAAATCAACACAGTTGTTTTTATGTCAATGTTTCTTTCTAATAAGATACGAGTAATGACTCACCTTTATTAGAATTTAGATCATTAAGTAAATACATTGACCATGCAAAATTTCGTATAAATTTTAATTTCAATTGACCAATTCAGGTTAATCCTGCGTTTGTGTAATCAAATCTTATCAATTATGTCAAATCGATTTTGCTCAGATTCTTTGTCACTTACGTAGCTGTAAACTATTTTCTACCTATTTTCTACTTCCTTTTCTTAAAGTATTAAAACAAGTCAGTACTCACCTTTAGTAAATCCTAAGTTCACGGTGCAAGTGATATTGCTGAATTGTATATCCACTGGCTCTAATTTAGGGGCCATTGCCAGACCCTGGGCAAGAGCCTCTACCTGGGCTTCCTTCGATGATCCCTGGACTGCAGGAATCGCAACACTAGGTTCCACATTTCCAGACGACCCTGACGTATAGGCCACACTAGTTTTGTCAATTTCAGCCCCGGCGAGCATCATTTTATTATTTATTATTTACGCGCGTGCGCGTTAGTGTGCAGCGCGCGGACGAGTGCGCGCGCGCCTTACGTCGACTAGAAGTGGACTAGTGTAGTCCCTTTGTCCGTAGCCGGCAAATAATTGCACACGCATTTGTTTCATTGCACGTGAATTTGTAAATGAGTGTTGTACGACACTCTATTAGCGCGCGTGTGGGCGTATGTGTGTGTGTTTGCGCGCGTGAACAATACCCTTTATTGTTATGTGCCACTGTTTTTAAGTATGCGGAGACAAAGATGAGCACTTCATACTAAATTTAACAATAGACATTTTGTAAATGAAGCGACAAGGACGCCGTAAAACATGTAATAGCATGTCAATGATCTGAACTGTTCCAGAAAGGGATAGTTATTTAGGTACGTTTTTTTTTATGGTTTAGAGCAACCAACGAGCAGATGGGTCACCTGAGTGCTTTATTTAACATGTGGAATCCCCCTCGGGAAGTCATCCCCTCCGGGGTTTGCGGCAGTGTGTAGGAATTGAACCGACAAACACCACACGGTGTGCCACTCCGCGCCTGCGATAGGAGGGTTTCGGGAACAGATGATATGAAGACATCCCGACCACCTGATGGTGAGTGCCTACCGCTGCCCATGGACACCTGGAATTAAAAAGTCACAAGTGCGCTGTTACCCATTCAGTTTCTTACCCCCAGGATCCGGGGTAGAAGGAGTTAGGCTCCAGTAACCTCACTCAGTCAGTGTAAAACAATGTAATAGTGACCGGAGTAACACCTCCAGTAGGGTCCACTCGTGCTGGAGCATGGGTCTCCCACGGTTTTGGGGTCATGTACCTTTATTACCTAACATGAGCAAAAATAAGAGCTTTTTAGCCATTTAGTACATTGTACATATACATCTTCATCAACAGCCTTTAATAGTCCACTGCTGGATATAGGCCTCTCCTTAGAAAGGAGGTTTTGACCTGCTATACCACGCTGGCCAGACGGGTTGGTATAGGGTTAATTTCAAGTTTTTCTTCTCTTTGCAGTGATGTTGTCCTGCTTAACTTTTTTTCTAAGTCGGTTCTTACGACACCCATAGGATGTATATGTATAGGGGTGGTGACACGGATGGCGTGTACAAGATACTAAAAATAAATTATACAAGGGGAAGGACGGTGATCAGTAGTGCAGAGGGTGAAAGGTTTAATAAATTATACAAGGGGAAGGACGGTGATCAGTAGTGCAGAGGGTGAAAGCTTCATTAATCGCATTGTGATAAAATGGTATACCTACTTTTCATTAAATTTAATTACAGAAATAGTCCAATAATAAAAAAAAATGACTCTTAAATTAGTACAATTATTGATGGTCATCAATAATTATACTAATTTGATGATCGAAAAACTAAATGACAACCAAATGAAAAATTATTCAAAACAGCAATTGTTAAAATAAAAAAAACATTTCAAACATATAAAACAGGTATGTTTTTTTTCGCTAAATCAACAACATCAACTTTCTGAATAATCGAAGGTCCTTCTTGGATTCATCATTCTATCCATCCACACCACATTCCATTCCACAAGTTAAATATGAAAATCATTGTAATTATACATCACCATCACCATCACCATCGCATCCAAGTCAATCATCTCACCATTCACTTTCCTTTAAAGCCTCACCATCGTACATAGTTAGAGGGCCTAGTGTGAGTTCATTTCACATCAACCCGATCGTCACGGCGATGGCGTAATTGGTTTGCCAACTACTATCACTCCCAACTAAACTCAACTGTCCAAACTGATCACTAGCCAATAAATAAATTACAGGTTAAATAAACTGAATCAATGTTCAATCTCGTTCTTGTGTCAGTTGTCTTTTAAAAAAAAGAAACTACCATCTCATCAAGTATGAAAATCTCATAAACGTACCTATAAGTGCATCATTCATTTCGTCTACCATTGCCTGTGCTCAGGCAGATAATTTGCCTCATTCTTTATTATTGTCTTAACAGCCGTCACCCCTCAGATGAATCACGACTTCACGTCAAAGTCAAGAATTATCTCTTTACGGTGTAATGTTGATAACAATCAAAACAAAATCCTAGATAATTTTGACGTACCTACTTATTAAGCTTAAAAATGAATTACAATTTTTTTTCTCTCTTTCTTATTTAACTATTGTGCCTATTGACTGGCCTACTGGTCTAGTCGTTAGAGATCCTGACTGCTAAGCCAGGGCTCGTCGATTCGATTCCCATTGTTCTGGGTGCAGAACAAATATTAGTGTGATGAGCTCAATCATTTGTTCTGTGTCTGGGTGTAATTTATCTAAGATACGAGTATGTATGTATTTGTAAATATGTATATAACTATGTGTATCAGCAGTATGGTTACCATAGCACAGGTTCTGCCTAGTTTGGCACGAGACGGCCGTGTGTGAGATGTGTGAGGTTATTATTATTATTGGAAAGAAGTTCCTTATCGCTCGATACACTCTCTGAGCGGATGGGCTCGCTCCGACCGAAAAATGTGTAACAAGACTTTTTTCCGACACTTCTTGCTATACGTCTACCAAAAAGCGAAAGGTACTTACTTCCGACCGGGGGTCCACAGACCCGTCAACGTTCTTGAGTGTTTGTGAAGCCTGTTCATCTACTCCTCTCAAACTAGAAGATACCAGAAAGGTAATCCATTTCTCTAGCCTGCCTTGTGGATGACAGCCATCTAGTCGGCATATCTATCTTCACGTTCCTGTGCAGATGAAAAAAATATTGGTGTGTTTCTCCTACCAAACTTGAAGTATACTTTAGCTTTATAGAATACCGAGTGAACATACGAGTATTATTGAGTTGAAAATGCATGGCTACGTGTCAAATAATTGTATAAAGAATTTTATCATATAGTTCTGACATTATTACTTATCCATAATACTGTTATAAATGCGAAAGTGTGTCTGTCTGTCTGTCTATCTGTCTGTCTGTTACCTCTTCGCGCTTAACCCGCTGATCCGATTTAGATTAAATTTGGTATAGAGATAGTTTGAGTCCAAAGAAATGACGTAGTATAGTTTTATCCGAGAAAGGGGTGGAAGTTTGCATGGGGAATAAATAACCGCTAAATCGATTCAGATGAAATTTGGTATTGAGATAGTTTGATTCTTGGGGAAGGACATAATTTTTACCGCGATTACCGACATACACGCGGGTGGAGCCGCGGGCAAAAGCTAGTAGGATGATATAGTGACAATGATCTAGTTGAACAGTAATGTTAAGCACCTGACCTACGATACGCTATATTTAGGTAGTGCGTTATCATTGTACTTTTCAATATTATTATTTTTTTCTTTTTAAAAGACAACTCCCGCACTAGGAATACATCCTGTGTCGCGGGGGACTTTACAAACATTCATGAAACGGACACAAAGAACACCCAGACTTTTTTTTTTTCCGTGCGGAAATCCCCTCGGATACCACCTGTCACCTGTCGGTGGCATGTCGGACTCGAACCGACTAAAACCGCACGCCGTCTCGGGTACTAATAGCCGGGGAACCAGGTATACCCTAGAAAGGAAGTCCCTGGTACCCCGACATACCTCGGGTCATCTACAGACGAGTAGACGACCCTCCCCCGTGTGGGAACCCCATGTTCCCTGTGCTCCCTGGAAGCGAGCGCGCTTCGCAACGCGCTCGCCGCCACCCCGGCCTGCTTCTGCTAGGGTGACAGATGGCCTCACCTGTCACCCCCAGGGGTGCGCTTATGGAGGACGGAGGTCGTTCTGCGACCGTCTCTTTCGCATAACTTGCTCGCAGAAGGAGACGTCAGAGTTCCACGCACTCTCGCACCGCACGATAGCCGCAATCAGGCTATCGAGCGAGAGAACTCCCACTCCAATGGCCGCCACGAGGTCTCGCCTCTGCTCAACCCACGCCGGGCACTCTGCCAGCGTGTGAAGAGCCGTGTCCACGGTCTGGCCATCGCAGTGGTGGCACTCAGGCGTTGGCTCCTTGCGGATTAGACACAGGTGATCCCCGAAACATCCCTTCCCAGTGATCACCTGCGTCAATCGGTATGAGAGGGTCCCGTGACGTCTCTCGAGCCAATCCTCCATAACGGGTCTTACCGCCGCGATGACGGCGTGCCCGAAAGAACACCCAGACTGAGAACAACAATTTGTAAATCACACAAAGTGTTGTCCCGTGTGGGGAACTATAACCCAGCAATCTCGTGCGCGACCGTCCCGCGGCGTGACAGACAGTGGCGGGGGCGAGGTAGCGCGTCATTCTAGCACACGGCTACACACGATTCCCTTCCCCGCTACACCACACGCTTGAGTACCTCGTCCCCGCCACCGTCTGTCACCCCGCAGGACGGTCGCGCACGACGTTGATGGACTATAACCCACAACACTCAGCGGAGTGGGAAGCGGTGACCGCTTTAACACTACGCCATCCGTGCAGTCAGTTATTGCGAGCGGTGTATTAAAGACCATGGTCTCATGACAAACTCTTTGTCTTCGTCCAGAGTATATCTATATATGAGTTAGGGTATATAAATATTGTATTCGCACTGTTTAGACACACACCGAAGGCAGATATACATACCATACAATATTATAAGTTACAAAATAAAAAAAAAACAAGCCAAATGTTTACCTTATAATACAACAAATATGAATTTTACTAGCTTAAATACAGTCATATACATATGTATAAATATATGGATACTTGCAAATAATATATAAAAGTAGTTCATCATCACCATCATCATCAACAGCTTTCAATAGCCAACTGCTGGATAGGCTTCTCCTTAGAGAAGAGGTTTCGGCTCACCACGCTGTACCACGCTGACCAGACGGTTTGGTATAGGGTTTTCCTTCTGTTTGTAATGCTGTTTGTGTGCGGCTAAGGTATTTGTGAAGTCAGTTGAACTTATTGAAAATACATTAAAAGAGCGAATTATCCGAAAAATCGATAAAATATGCATTTCTGAAGATCCTGGCAGATGTAGACGTCCTG